TTGAGGTCAATTGATGTTGTTTGTAGAAAATTCTACCGAATACATGATACAAAACCGCACGAAAAAATCAATTTAGCAATTTATTTGCAACTTTCATTTTTCAAACAATATGTTTGAAAAGTGCTTGAATGGAGAAGAATAGTCTTCTCATCACAAAGGAGATCCTGATTGACAATTTGGACCTACCCAAGGTCACTCATCGTCAAAGGAAGAAGAAAAGTTGGAAAGCTCATACCAGCAAAGATATTATACAACTCAAGGAAAAGAAGGCCGTGATTGAGAAATTATGAAACAGACTAGTAGTCTCAGACAGTAAAAGAAGTCGAAGCCAACAAAGCCTTCTGAGGTCCGACTACCACAGCAATGGTCGATCTCAAGGTGTTTCGGCCAATCCCAATAAGAGGAATCACCATAATAGCCATGGCTAGCATCGAATGACTTTACTTAATCATACATAGTAGAAACTAAAATAGATTTCAATTTCTACCAAGAATCTGTTTTGTGCTTAGATATAAACTGTGTTTAGAATAATATCATTGATAAATTTTGCAAACTTTTTTACTTATCTTGAACACGAACAATCACGATCTACGATCTAAAGCTCTCCAATTGTCCAGCCTCCAATCAAAATCCACACATGAAATAAGAATGGGTGAATTAAAATTTCATTTTTTTTGTGCTAGTAAAATAATGAATTATGTTATGTTGTTTCTGAAACCTTAATAATTTATTAATATAAGCTCAAGTGGGCTTGATCCGTCTCTTAAACTTAACTCAATCTAATTAATTAAACTTGGTCCATGAATTATGGCCTATTAACAAGCGACTCCATTAATTAATTGTCAAATACTTGCTAATTAATTAACTGGTGAATCTCATTTTTTTAGTTCTCATTTTGTGCGTGACTCATTAGGTTCCCAATCACGATATCTAACAATTTGAATTATTATTTTAATTTAATCAAAATCAATATATTAAAATCCCCATATTAATTTATTATCAATTCACATCCATCGTCTAGGATTGATATCTAGCAATGTGTCGGCAATACACGTGACGAGAAATCTCACGTGATATGAGAAAACTAAACTTGTTTGTTTACCGTTAAACTATAATTCTTTCGTTAATATGATTCGCTCAATTACGAGATATGTATATGTGTCGATCTTAATTATCGATCATGTCTTTCATACTACTATTAAGTTTATGTAAGTAGAAAAAAATTTCAACTTATGAATACACATTGACCAAAGATTTCGTTATTAACTTAATTGAATGAAATGTAGATTATAATCTCTTACTATCGAAGAGTGACGAATCATCTATTGATTATTCACAACTTTCATATGATTCTTGACATACTCGATCGATGCCGTATTAGCAACCCTTGGCAACACAACATCTAATATCACCAAAGTATGACATCCTCATTTAAGGCAGTATGATGACCTCAAGTGGAATGACCAATTCCACTACTAAACATTTGAAATTAATCACTGACACTCAAATAGTTATCCATGTAGAATCTCGTCGTGGGTATCTAATGTTTTGTTCTATAACAAAACATTCATATGTTCATTTAAGTGTCACCGCACTGTAGCTTGTAAAAGCAATTACTTACTTCACAAGTAAGAAATGTCACACGTGATGGTCTATCTGTAATAACGATTTTCGTATCTCGTTATCAGTTATGACCACGGATGATTTAAAATTCAGTTAATGTAATTTATATCTCACAATCACAACTCTTTGTAGTGAAGAAATTACCAAAATTTGAATCTACAAATTCTATTATTTGATTTCTTAGAATATTAATTAAATTAAATAATAGATCTACCATAAAAATATGCATCAATTATATGTTAAAAGTGTTTATGTTCATAATTAATTGGATTTAGGACATAAAACTCAGACAATGAACCCCACGCTTGTATTGAATGAAGGGAGTAATGAATCGACTTTCATCTCACTTTTTGATCTTTAAAAACTCTAAAAAACGTACCACATTCCTCAAAATGCTCCTAAGAAA